AACACACACACACACACACACACACACACACACACACACTGACACACACACTCTCTGACACACACACACACAAACACACACATTTTACACACATACACGTGAACACAAACACACACACAATCACACATAGAGTGGAGCTTCGGGGGAAGACTTGAACAGAGCATGCGTGCGTGCGTGCATGCATGCATGCGTGGGTGCACGTTGCACTGAGGACAGACAGCACATGTCCGCTGCTGTGCTTCTCATTCTCACCAATTTATCTCTCTCACCCCAAGGCTACCCGTAGATTCTACCGCCATCTCACGAGAGGGGGGAAAAATCCGGATACCTAGCCGGATAATTCTCAATGAAACATTATCCGAATTCAGAGTCTGAACTATCTGAACTATCTGACCTCTCTTTCCGAATCCATTTTCCGAAGTGGGTGCACCCATAATTTGTTGAAGTAGTTCTAACCCGTTTCTCGAAGTGGTTCTAACCCATTTGCCGAAGCAGTTCATAACATATTATTTGCCGAAGAGGTGCACCAGCATAATATCCGGATTTTGCTATTTTAAAGCGAATCTTTGCCCAGCCCTACATCTCACCTCCAGAGGCCCGCTTCCGATGCATGATTCATGGAGCCGGCTGAGTGGACTGACTGCAAAGTGCAGGAACAGGAGTGGACTAAGGCTACAGCAATAACTGGTGGCCTTGGGGCAGAGCGGTTACTGCTGACATGATACAAGAGACCAACTGCAGACGAGTGGAGAGATATAGATAAACAAGCGTCGTGTGCACCTACTATGCACACGTGCACACACAGTCACATCTTTTAGATTTAGTAAGTGTTTTACGGCACTTGCAACACAATGAGGCCATATAAGGGTCGAAGACTAGAGGTGTTACAAGAGAGTACCAAACACAAAAAAGAAGGAGGGGAGATAAAGACGATGGATGTTTTAGTTTTAGTAAGAGTTTTACGGCACTCGCAACACAATGAGGCCGTATAAGGGTCGAAGACTAGAGGTGTTACAAGAGAGTACCAAACACAAAAAAGAAGGAGGGGAGATAAGGACGATAGATGTTTGATAGGAAAGAAGGAGCGAACCACACCAGAGCACCCGCCAACCACCCGCACAGTCACATCTGCACA